ATACGTCGGTGAAAGATCGAATATTTCTTTACATTCTTGTACATTCGGACCCTCACCGGTGTATGTCGACAATCACAGTTATGCTCTGGTGTAGGTCGAAAAGAGAGGAGTATATGTACACGCTGCCATTCCAAAAGGAAGTGTTCCACAAATAAATGCAGTTGTAAAAGCAAAGGCCTCTTGTACAATTCAAAGTGTCATAATAGTTTAAGTTGTTGCAATAAATAAGATTTGAATCACATAATTTGGTAAGTTTATAACTTCTATTATTTTCCTTTCTCATTTTGAATGTACTGTGTGTTTTAAGTTCTTATATTCTTTTCTTATTCTGAGTCTCAAGTGCGTTTTCGCGAATGAATTACGGAGAAGGAAATATAATATTCTTATATGTTCAGCATTCACCATTAGTACCTGGTGAATGTCGACATTCACCGGTGTAAGTCAGAAATAAGAGTATTTGGAAAATATTTCGGACATACACCAAGCGACTATGTGAATGCTGACATTCACCGGTGAAAGTCGACATTTTCCAGATTTCGGTGTTTCACCGTAACATGTATATAAAACAGCAATACTGCAGTTCTCCGTATTTGTCTGCAATACGGAAGAGGATTCCTGTCTCGCGATAATTTCTGTTTGATGTGAAAATCAGTATTTTGGAAGTTAAAAATCTTCTCTCGCTTGCCCCCCCCCCCAAAAAAAAACTTTGAGAGCTATAAATACAAAAATCTTATCTAATATCGTTTCAGTACATGTATGTTTAAAAATTAACTAAAGAGCATTAATTTTGAATCGACTTAAAGTGAAGGACTATAAAATTAAAAGAGAATATAGTGTGAAACCAATTGGAATTGGTACTTTTCCGTTTTGCCGCCGCAAATGATAAAGTCGCCAATAATGGTACAACAGATGCCAAACGGAATATTCTTCGCTGATAACCTTTTACGCTTCATTTTCAAAACAAGTCGCAGCCATTTCTAACCGGATTGATTGTTTCTTTCAATACTGGCATACAATTACATAGAATATTTACAAAGATAACTAAATTTTATGCTCCAAGACCATTCGCGGTAATTAAGTCAATTAGGATGCAATCACACCGCTCACCCGAAGGCGAAAATATAGAAAAGTCAAAAATCAAGGGTTAAATTTCATCAGTTCTAATTAGAATGCACTAGCGAAATAAAGCACTACGGTTTTACATAATTTCTGACTAAGCTATTCGTACGAATTGAAATACTTCTTGCATTTAAACTTTTATTCCAAATTAAGATTTAACTGGAAATTAATGTAGATAATTGCTGAGAGAATTAGATTTTTGTAGCGTAGTTTACGTGAGATGAAATCACTTGGGGTGATACGAACCGGCGAATCAGGATGTTGAACCATGATAGCATAGTAAATTCTTAAATTAATGTCTTTCATTGTCTTTATTTAATATCTTAATTAATGTCTTTGTTGTCTTTATTTATTGGCTTTTTACAAAATTATAAACCATATTAGAATGTTTATGCCTTCAAAATAAAAAATTCTTAGAACTAATATTTGTTAACATTTTCTATGTGTATTCTCTATGTTGTCGCCAACAAAGTCTGCTTGGCGAGATTTGCGCCGGACGAAACGGAAAAGTACCGATCCGGTAATTTTATATATATACTATAAAAGAATATTACTGTGAAACCAACTGGAATTATATATATATATATGCATAAATTCTGGTAAATCTAAAAAATCTAAAAATGCTTAGAATTTTCTAAGAACGGTAACCTTGGTTTTAATATTTGCATGCATTTTATGGATGAAATTAGAACTTTAACTGCTGTTGATAGGTACTTCAGTCTATATGCAAAATTTAAGACCAGTGTGTGTTAGAAATTGTATTACATTTTTTAACTTCATATTTTTGTTCCTGAAATTATTGATACCTTTTTTCTTGGAATATACCTTTCTAATTTTCTAATTTTATAGCAAAGATTGGACATTTCTTATAAAATGTTTCTTTTTCAGCCTTAAAAAATTTTAACTGATTTTCATATGCAAGAACATCAGTTGTATGTGCAAAAAGCTGGTTGAAAATTGAAATTAGAAATTTAAAATGTACAGCATAAAATATTTATTTGTGAATGAGCTCAATAAGTGTAATATTTTCAGTAATATCCTCTGCTGAATCTTGTGTTCTGTATCCAGTTAACTTAATCTTTATTGTGTCTTATATATTTATATATAATTTATATATAATTCCATAGCTATGTATATTATGTTTCCATGCTGTGCATGCTCTTCACAAATGTTGAGTAAATTATGATAATGTGTTAATCAAATGTGTTAAGAAAATGAGGCAGTATTTTGACATTTTCCAAATGAAATGACAGGCTTTAAGGGTGAATCAAAAAGCAAGAAAATTTAAGGGGGGGAGAATCGCGACGCGCAATGAATTGGAAGTTGATCTGTCAGCGCTATCCTTATCTTCAGGGCAGATGTTTTTATTTTATTTGTCTTATAATTCCTTACTAAATGTAGTATTTCATCTCAATGTACGCCGTCTTTGATACGATTTAAATGAAATTCCTCGTATTATAATTCGCTTCCGATAGTGAAGAAAGTGACACAGAGGTTATTGAAAACGAAAAAATTTTGATTGGCGAATTAGTCGGTATTCTCGACACAGCAATTATAGGACTTCAACAGCGGAACTTTGTAACTGAAGAAGAAATTGTCTGTTTATAGAATTAAAGAGAAAGTATTATCACATAAAACGAAGCAACTTAAACAACTTACATTTCTTTCAATGTTTAATGAAGTAAACAAATATTAAGCCCTTTTTTTTTTTTTTTTTTTTTGTGTAAATTTTAATATTCTTTAGATCATAATTGTTCTTTATTTCATAAATTATGGTTTCATATTTTTAATTTTATAATTTCTGGATGCCATCTTACCAGATTTAAACTGATGATCTATAATCCTGAAAAATCGATAATCCGGAATCGCCGAAGTCCCGGCAAGTCCGGATTAACGACTTTTGACTGTACCACAAAAGCATTACAAACGCATGATCCAGTCACATGTCCAAAATTTGTTTACATCCCGGTACATGTTTTCTTCTGTAATAAATGGAAATCATTCAACAAACACTATTTCTTTGGTTAAGTGTAAAAATTTTAAGTAAAGTAAGAAGTACTTAAAATATTTTTGCAGTAAAGTGAGAAGTACTTTACTGCAGAAATATTTTTAAAAACCTAATTGAAAACCTGGGGAAGGGAACATTTATGCCCATTGTTTGTGAAAACTGAAGTTATATGTCATCTAGCAGACAGTAGGAGTAGCTTCTACATTACAAACAACAAGTAAAAAATATTGAAATCCGTAACTGTAATCAAGGAAAGGTTTTGTGGATGCGTCAAGGGGGACAAAGCATTTATGTCCAACTTCTTTATCAGGCTTATTCATGCTCATTCTTGTCTCTTATAATGGCAAGCTACTGGTTTCATCTATCAAGTTCTTCAGTAGTGCTTGTGAACATCAAAAGTGAAGATTCCATTTCAGTCTGTAATTTGGTGGCCAAGAAGAAGCTATTAGGGAGAATACACAATGTTATGAAAGTTTTAACAGCAACCATATGTCAGTTAGGAGACAATAAGTGCCGACTTTTTAAAAGTTCTACCTAAATTTGTTATAATAAAAAATAAAGAATTCTCAAAGCCTTTAACGAACTTCAGAATTATAATTGCAAGAAATCCGGTTAAAAAAATAGAAGCTTTGGCAATTGATGCGAAAGCACTAGTAGACCATAGGAGAAACTATACAGCCTCAAAACATGCAATTCCTGAGTAACCTAATCTTGGAAATTGAATTGATTAGCTTTGTCAAGGGAAGAAAGAGAAAAATGTACCTGCTGGAAAAGTTAAGCATCAAACTATATGGCATTGCATAAAATAAACAATGCAGTGTTGTATGATAAATTGAGGTATTTTTAATTCAATTTTCAATTAATTCATTTAAATTGAGGTATTTCTAAGTTCAGCTTCAGATTCGATTGCCCAAGAAAAAGGACATTTGCAGTCTTTTTGATGCATTAAAATTAAAGACTAATTAGAGACTGATATGCTTGTGAATACATCAGAAAAACTTGCTGAAGGACAAGAAAAAGTGAAACATTTGAGAACTGAAAAATAAAACAATGGGAAATGAACTTCCAGGAAGAGCCAGTCATGGCAGTAGAAAAGATTAAAGTTCAAAAAATCAACAGAAGAAACTGGGGGGGGGGATTTAGTCATCTTAAAAATATTGAAAATTTTTTTCTTTCCTATTTTGTTTAAGAATTTTTGTGCAATTTTATAACAATGTTTTCTTTATTGTTGAAGCTACACGAACTGAAAAACTAAAAATTCATTTTCTCAAACTTCCTATCAATGGACGTAAATGATCCCTCCTTATAGTCTTCATTTGTTGTTTTAAAGATTTAATGTCATATATTCTATTACATCATGTTTATATTGCTATGTAATTCAAACGTTTTATTGTGATTTAATTATGCATAAAAAAATTATCTGCAACAAATACCAAGGTAGGGGGCATTCTACATTTATTTTTATGTAAGTCCTTGTTTAGGTAAGCTAACTTGTTCTTGTATTTTTAAAAATTCACTGTTCTGAAAATTTTTGTTTGCATAAATTTATAAGAAATGGCTAAAACTGTAATTGTGTATGCTTCAAATTGTAATAGCTTATTTTAAAGTAACTTTAAAATTTTTTATGCAATTAATAAAATTTTTTCATGAGAATTTATTTCAAAATTTTTAACATAACTAGCTTTTAGTTTCAAGGCTTAATGCTTTTTGATTGATTATTATAAAGCAATAATACCCTTGAGATAAGTTTAATTTTTTGAAAACTTTGTTATTGATTGAAAGACATTTTTTATCTGCTTCATTATATTTTCGTTATTAATATGTTTTATGAAATGTTTTTATACTGTTATTGAACCATATTTTTTCATTCCAGATTTACTACATTGCACGAATGAACCTAATGTGTCCATTCCACAGTTGGCCAATTTGCTTATTGAGAGGACGCAGAACACCAGCTGGGTTGTTGTTTTCAAAGCTCTCATCACAGTTCATCACCTTATGTGCTATGGAAATGAAGTAAGTGTAGTTTAAAATTGTATTTCTTTGAATATTAAAATCTAGTTTATAAAAAGTTTGTTTCTGTTATAAGTAACTGTTTCTCTGTTTTGTATTGTTTAGAGGTTTACGCAATATTTAGCATCAAGTAATTGCACGTTTCAACTAGGATGTTTCTTAGACAAAGTTGGAGTTCAGTGTAAGTTTTTTTTTTTTTTTTCTCTTTGTGTGTGTTATGTTTTTAGTGTTTCGTAGACTTAGATTTCTTTCTTTTTCAGCTTATGACATGTCTACTTTCATAAGGAGGTATGCAAAATATCTCAATGAAAAGGCTGTGTCATATAGGACAGTTGCATTTGATTTCTGCAAATGCAAGAGGGGGTAAGTTAGAAAGCTTATTTTTAATATTAAAATATTCATTGTATTAATGTAAACCTGTGAATTTCAAAACATACAAGTTACTGCTTTTTTGTTGCTGGGTTATATTTGTAGAATATTTTCAAGTGGATTGTAATAGTATTGTCTAATTCATTGAATCCAGCATTTGAATTCTTTGAGCTATGTTGTAAAAAAAGTTTGAGAATGACTTATTTTTTACCAGCTAACAGAAATAATGAAGGTATAAGAAAAGAATGAGAAGAAATATTTGATAGTCAAAGTATCTGCCATTCACTTAAAATTGCACGAAGAAGAAAAGAGAAAAGAGTTTAAAAGTGGTTATATTAATATTCCACTCCCACAGAAGACAATTTGACTAGGCAATTTGGCAGTGTATTTCAACTTTGCGGAATGCGCAGTTTGTTTGATGGATATAAATTAGCAGTTATGACCAGTGATGAAATCAGTGGAACAAGAAATCCAAGTTTTGAAATTTTGGAAACTTATTTCATTTCTCTTTTCAGTTGTAGACAATTTTTTTCTGAAATTATGCGAGTTCGTGGCTTGTAAAATGCATAACACTAAATTATGATTGTCATCTTGTTGTGATAAATAAGCACCAATTCCAATCAAAGAAGTATCTATCTGGATAATAAAAGCTTAGTTTGAAATGGATGCATGCAACTTTGGAACATTGATAAGTGCACTTTTAACTGGGAGGTGTGTTTTCTTCTAGACACCATTCAATTTAAATTCAAATGAAATTTTCTAATAAATATACAGTTAAGAATTTTGCTTATATATTCTATAGACAATTTTATCAATATAAAAAATTTTTAATTTTGCTAAATATATTATCATAAAAATTTATTAATGCAATTTTTGTCAGAATATAGCATGCTTCGAATGTTCTTCTGGAAAAAATTAGTTATTTTTACTAATATTTGTTTTCTCTTATATAAATATATGGTAGAAAAAAATGAATATAAAAAATAATGCTTATATTACAAAAAAAAAAAAAAAACCCACTGGGTAAATTTGTAATATTATTGATATGTACTTTATTGTAGTCAGATTAAAAAGTTATATTCCATACATACTGGAATGTTCCATCTGCACTTCTTAGTCCAAATGGAATAATTTTCCATCTGTATTGTGCTCTGTTTTAAATAAAATGAGATCTATACTGTTTTTTAGAGGTATTTCTCAATATCCTTTCAAAATATTTAGAGCTTGAGTGTCTGCACTTAATAACTGAAAATTGTATGCAGAAGCACATTTTCCCATTTTGTTGGCTAACACTAACACAAACTACTAGTCAAATTTCATGGGTTTATCTTTAAAACCTTTACATGTTAATGCAGGAGATTTATTTTGATTTTGTAACCTTAATTACCTTACAAAGTTAATTTCATAATCAAAATGTTTGTGATAGATGTGAAAACTGTATTGCATTCCTTTCCTAATTCGAGAAGTTTAAACCATTTATTATCAGGAAATATTTATGTGTGCTGCAATTTCAAAATCAAGAGTCTGGTTTAATTTATGTGTAACCGTGGATAATTTTAAAAGGGCTTTAAATCTGTTACATTTATTACTTCCTTGTATTGGAGTAAAAGCAGTTTTGTAATCTCAAAAAATTTGGGGTATCCTATTTCTACGAAATTATCTATTGTTCTTGAATTCATCTGAGCAATGTTTTTGCATGTTATCTATATGTATAGTCAGAATAATGGACTCATTCACCCCCAAACAGAGTGAAAAATTGATTTAAAATGGATTCAGAAGAGACTTTTTTTTGTGAGGTCTATACATACATACATACATACATACATACATACATATGTACGTATCTTGCATAACTCAAAAATGAGTAGCCTCAGAACATTAAAATTTTGTATGGGCCTGCTATAACATGTAGTTGTGCACATCCTTTTTTGGTCGCAATCGACCACACCAAAAGTATATAACTTTTCAAATCTTTACTAATGTAAATTAAAATATTGACTGCTTTTTTTCACAGCTGTAAATTCAACAGTATTTTTTCTTTAATTTCTTTTGGAATCTTGTTTGTCTTAAATGTATACTCTAAAGATGAGAAGAACATATTCCAAGGTTCTGACTTTGATAAAACAGATATTTTCAATATTTTGATGATCAATAATTCAGTTGTTTCATTTTCAGATCCTACCGAAATTCAAATTTATTCCTGTTTGAGTTCTTATAAGTTTCTTTTTCATTAAGTCTCTTAATTAATCTTGCTCTTTTATTGCTTCTAATTTAATTTCTATTTCATTGTTCTAATTTTAATCTGTTTGTCTTTATGGTCATTAATCGATTCAATTAACTCTTTTCCAAATTCTGATTTTCTTTAAACATTTCATTATTCTGTATAAGAGCTTTCAAATCTAGAGTTAGCTCTTTTCTTCAGTGACCAGTTCGGTTTTCTTAGCTTTTGTAATATTTTTAATACAAAAGTAATAAAAATTTCTACCTCGATGGGAAATTTTATAAGTTTCGTATTAAAAATCTCATATGTATGTACTTAAAATGTTATCTTATAAATGAATGCATTCTTATAAATGAATTCTCATGATTATTATCTAAAATGTTCTCAGTTATTATGAAATATTCAATGATTTGAGACATACTGGTGTACTGTGTATGTTATGAGTATGTGTGGTTCATTGACTTGAACCAATTTTGTCTGTTTCTTAATGATAAAAATAATTATAGTTACACTTGTACATACATAAATAAAATTTTGTTATGAATACATTATTTACATCTTGTGATTTATTTTGGACTTCTCAAATGAGTGTCAACAATTATATTTTCATGACTTCTGAAATGTTGTGCTTTCTCTCCAGCAATGAAACATCGTCTTTTTTCTCTTTCATCACCAGATTACTTAATTAAATTCAAATGCAGAGAATAATTAAAAATGAGTGTCTTTGTAGTAGTCTTTCCCCTCTACCTTCTTCCTAATTTTCTTATTCCTACATGAATTGCAAAAATAGATTGGAGCTGTAAGTTTAAAATTTGCTCCTTTCTAACCTTTGAAACCACTAATTGACTGACCTTCTCTCCTGAAACCTTCCTTTTATGATAAATCAAATTATCCATTAAAAATACCAATTTTTCTTTGTTTCAGCATCTTTAAGAATCCGCATAAAATTTTGCAATTTCTCTGCTGTTTTTCAAAGATACTACCTTCACGATTGATGTACATTTATTTCATTTTCACTTCCACTTTGATCCTGAGCACAATGATCCAATTTTAGCCTGGCTGCATGGTGGTTTTCGTGGTTTTCCTTATGTGCAATGGGGAGTTGCTTTGCCTTTACCAATTAACATAACCTAATGATAAAATTTTTCATTCCTTCCAACTTAAACAAATCAGCATTGCTTTCATTTTCTAATTGTTTCACTTGCTGAATCATTTGTTAAGCAGTTGTTTAGTTTCTTTTGCTGCCAACTGCTCTATATGGATCCGATCTGCAACTGTCTCCAACCTTAGCTGCTCAGTATTTACTGCCCCGCCCCAACCATAGCTGCTTAATATTTAGCGGCTTGCAACATTGCATACACAGCTGGCATTGTAATAAAAAGTATAGCTAATTTATCTAATTGATTTTTTGTAGATCATGCATCTGCATTATTGAGCAAATTATTTGGGTTTTCTGATTTTAATGTGATAGGCAAGTTTTTTATATCCATTATAATTTTATCTCCAAGTATTGATATAAGCTGTGCTTTAGCATAATCATTTCGAAAGGATTGTGGTATCTGGTTTGCATTAATTATTGGCATTTTCGCTGCACTGTTTAAAGTCATTGCTCCACTAATTATCTGACCTACTCTCCTAAAACTTTCTCTTTGTGATAAAAAATAAATTATCCATCAAAATTTCAATTTTTCTTTCTTTTAGTGTCTCTAAGAATAGCACATAGTGTTGTGCAATTTATGCTACATAAAGTGTCACAAATGAGACCTAATCTGTTTCTCTCTCCCAACCAAATATATATGTAGTATAAAGGTTATGTACCAATTACATCATTATCAAAATACTATATTAACTCCTGTGATTAATTATATTAACTCCTGTGATTTTGCTTATTTTTACAGTCCAATGTAGTGTTTTTATTTTACTCTGCAAAGCTGGCATTTTGTTCTTTTCTCTGTTCAAACAGAAATGCAAATCTGTAGTTTATTTACAAAGCTTAACCAATTTACATTAAAATTAGTTTGTATAAGAGCTGGTCATATAAGTTAAGGAAGTAAAGTATGTCAGTTGTATAGTAATATAAATTCAATTTATTTAATGATGTATGGTTGATATATTTTTTAGTATATAAGAATGTGTTAAAATAAGTTGAACACTGAAGCTTCATCTTTTGTAGAACAGTCAGATGTATGTAATTGTAACTGTTAATGTGTCCAGAAAATCAGGTTCTTGATTATAGTTAATTGAGAAATGTTTTTAATTCTAGCATAGTAAAAGAGATGATAAACATGATAATTCTCTTAAGTTTATTTGAAATTGATAGTCTTTCTGGATAATACTGCTTAATAGAAAAGACTGCACTAACTGCTAAATTTGAACCTTTAATATAAGTTAGAGACAGCATGTTTCAGATGCTCTTTCATGAGTATTGTATTACGTTTTAAAGGACTAATTTGTTTTCGCCACATCCTTATTCTTGGAAAAAGCATTGAATCTCTTTTTAGTGAAGTTTAAGAGTTGAGTTTTGCCACTTATTAAGTCAGCATATATGTCTTTTATCTGTCTTATAAAGTCATATAAAAGTCTTGCAATTCTGAAATGTTTTCACTAGATGCACATATAGATCATAAATATTTCTGAAGTTTTATATGAAATATTTCTCTTAATTCTGATTACATTAAATGTTCATTTAGTATTCAAAATTGGACACTGACACTTCATCTTTCTATTTATTTTTTACATATAAAATCTTGATTAGCTCTCATCGGTATTCATATGAATTTAAACATTTTTTTATAAATATTGGAATAATTTTGTGGGATGAAAAGTTTTAAAACCTTTTAGGCTTTTCAGGCATTGCTGCAATCATCAAAATTTGCATTATTTAGAACCATCAAAATATTAAAAATTTTTAAATATGAAATAAAAGGATTTGATGCTTTTCTATTTAGGTTGAAAAAGCATTATTAAAAACATCATAACTCTGTTGAATGTAATATATAAAATGAATTGATATGTAAATGCTGATTAGTAAATTGTCGGGAATAGTGATATAAAGGCTTTACCAATTTTAAACATATTGATTAGTTTGTTAGTAGTTGTTCATTTAATTAATGAATTATAAATTAAATAATTCAGTATGTTTGATTAATAATCTGTTCAGTAAAATAAATGTGAGGAATGTAATACAAATGAATCAACCTTCTTTAAAAAAATATTTTTGGATTTTTTTCCCATTCAAATCTTAACAAAAATTCTGCTTATTTCATATTTAAAGGCAGTATATTATAAAAATTACTTTTCTAATAAGATGACCAGTTTTTGAAGAATTTTCTGGAAAAAAAAAAAAAAAAAAAAAAACAGTAATATTTACATGTTTAAAAGCTTATTGCTTTGCAACATCAATTTATTAACTGTTGCTTTTTTTTTTTGTTTAGGAAAGATGATGGTATTCTAAGGCAGATGAATACAGAACAAGTAATATTTTTTTTAAATTTTAGTTATATATATTATTCATCTGAATATAAGGTAACTGAAATTTATTTCATTTCATTCCAGTTATTAAAGACATTACCTGCTTTGCAAACTCAACTTGATGCTTTATTAGAATTTGATGTAAGTGTTCTGTTTATTCTGTATTGCAATTCATAAATCATTCATTGAAAAAAAATTGTATTTTATGTATATGTAACATTTTTACAAATTGATTTTTGCTCCCTATTATGCTACTAGAATTTGTATTTAAAAAAGGATAGCCCAGTTTACCTCAGGATGCAAAAAGATCAGAGAAAAAATGAATTAAATCTCCATTCATTCTTTGTGAGGCTTTGCATCTGCGATGAGATATCTTTTTTCGGCGCTGTCAAAATTCCAATATGTTTATATAAACAGCAATTTTTATATAGCTCCAGAGCCAAAATTTAGAGGCAGTGAGATCTGGTGAGTGTGGTAGCCAGACAACAGGAAATGAAAGACTAATGATGTACTCAGAGTTGCCCGACTGGTATAGCGGTTAGCATCACTGACCTGCTGTGCCGAACAGCCTAGGTTCAAATCCCAGAGTAGGCATGGATGTTTGTAAATGTATAGTGTCCATGTGGCATGGGGACACTCTAAATATGCAGCAAGCCGAAAGTCCTTTCAAGAGGTTGGTGGTAGGAGAAGAGGGGTGGGAGAGATCCCTGGACCTGTCACTCCGAGGTGCTCTCCATCAAAATTGGGGGTGGAACTGAGCTAAATCGCACTCTTGTGCTAATGCTGTTGCCAATGATAGACATAAATAATTGCTCCTTGCCACGAGGTATTTTGTGGGCTGACTATAGGTCAGACAAGTGAGCATTAGCAGCAACAACAACAACGATACTCACAGATGCAATGTCTGTTCAGAAACTGTTGTATAGAACATTTAATGTGTGGTGATGTTCTGCTTTACATAAAAGTTAGCTGACTGAGTAAAGTTATTGTGAAACAGGTCTCTGCATCATGTTATCGTATTTGACATGTCCTATGACTGCCAGCATGTGTCAATAGTAACTTTCTCAAACAAAACAAACAATAACAGAAAAGCTAAATATGAAGTGAATCTGTGTCACTTCAGGCAAAGGAAGAAGAATTTCCTTGGTTTTCTTTTATGCAAATCTGATAGTTACGAGTATTTACGATTTGACTCTGACAAAAGTGTGCCAACGCTTTAAAGCATGCCCATGGCTATAACACAGTTTTCATTTAAATTAAAAAATTCATAGTGAGCATGAATTATTTATTCTTGTTGGTAATCAATCTTGCATTGAAAATAATGTTCTTTTACAACATTGTCTATATTATGCTGCACAAAACGTTTGATTGATGATACAGTATGTGTAAACTAGTGAAAATAGGCTCTTATGTGTTAATCCAGCAACTGCTGTGCTGCTGTGATTTCAACAGAAAATTTTTTAAAAATTTATTTTCAAAGCACAGCTGGCTAAATGTCGGCCATCACAACTGATCAGAATGCTTTCAGTTATTCCAGTGTTTCACACTTGCTGTTGAATATTAAAGTAATGTTTAAAATAAATATTTTTATGGTTTGCTCCAATTATTTAATAGGTTATTTTAGTATTTTTATTATTTATTTATTTATTTATTTTTTCCCCATTTTACTGTAAAGCACTCTTTGGCCAAAATTTTTAACTTATTTTTTTCCCTGCATGTTTTCTTTTTGCATCTTCTGAATAATATATTTATACGTTTTGATGTCAATCAGCTTAGTGGTTGCAACTATAGAGTACTACTAACCAGAACATAAGTTGCCGATTCTTGTTACCGCCATTCTGCTGTTTGTTATAGTCAGTCTTGCATGGGAAAAAAATGTTGTTTTACAGCATTGTCTATGTTGTACTGCATAAAACATTTAATTGATAAAGCACTATGTGTAAACTAGTGAAAGAGAATGTCATAGTGTTCTTATTTTTTAATCCAACAAATTTTAATAGCTTGGGGCAGTAAATTGGGTTTTAATAGCTTGCTTTCAAATAGTTTCATAATGTATGAGTAACATTCATAAGATGAACAAATCTTTGTGAAAAGTTATGATTGGTTTTGTTTTAGTATGTGATAATTTGTAATCTTGTTGCTAAATTAGTTTATGTAATCAGTGAAACTTAATTTTAGGTGTCCTGGATATAAAATTTTCTGTTTGTCTTAAAGTATTCTTGAGTTTTATCTTCTGTATTTTTTAAACATGAATAAAATTTCACTTTTGTTGAGTAATTAAAAACAATATTTGATATATGTTATGCAAATTTTATCATATGTTATGCAAATTTTATCATATAATTAGTAACTTAAAGATGTATATGTAAGTTCATATGAAGGATGTTTTTTACCCATTTGAGTTTTTCTTCCCCCTTTTAATATAGATGTCAAAATTTTGAAATGATCTTATTTTTCTTATTTTAATGGGCATGATTTTCCTTGTTGATGTACTAAAAACTCAAGAAATTCATATTTTCAAGTTATTTTAAGATCTGAATATTAAATTTCAGTGTTCAACAAATGATTTGTGCAATGGAGTGGTCAATGCTTGTTTTATGTTACTTTTCCGAGACCTCGTTAGGCTATTTGCTTGTTACAATGATGGAATTATAAATCTTCTTGGTAAGTTTGAATATAATTTGTATTTTATGTATACTGAGAAGTATCATGCTTACATAAGTCAATATAGCTACAAAATCCCGTTATGAATTTTGTACCTATATTAACTTATGTAAGCATAATACTTCTCAGTATTTTACAAGATAGATTTTATAACAGTAAAAAATTTGTGACTGTATTGTAATTGCATATTAAACTCATTTAAGTGTGAACAGAATAATTATTTGAATTTGCACTAGTGTACAAAACTTGAGCAATAAATTCATTTTTAAACATGAAATGGTTCAGGGCTTTTTGCGATTATAAAAGTAACATGTATGCAGATATCAGCACCATGACATCAGAGGATACATTAAAATACAAGGAGTCGGTGCATGCAGGGCAAGGCAGCTGGGGGCAAACAAAAGAAAAAAATGTATTTCCAGGCATTCTCCTGCAAGTGAAAATGAGATTGTATGTGCAGCATGACAACAAAAAAACATTAGGATTCCTTTATATGTGGTAGAATCATTGGCAAGCATGAGGAGACTTAGGTTTTGTGTTGCTGAGGAGTTTGGAATTGATAAAAGTGTTGTTCCTTGAGCTTGTCAAGTTTTCGTATGACAGGTACAGCTGTAAGAGAGGTTGTTGGTGGTTGGGGGGAAAAAGTGAGATGATGACTGATGACCGATATATTGTCTTGCTGGCGAAAAGACATTGAAACCAAACAGTAACATTGCTCAGGGGGTTGTATACAGCAATGAGACAACAGGTGTCCCAGTTTACTACTGCCAGGCAACTTCATAAAGGTGGCTTTATTCATGAATGGCACATAGTATTGAAAGCAGCACAGTTTACAGCAGGGTCAAGAAAGCAAAGACTGAACACCTCATCAATAGTCGCATGCTCTTTACTGATAAGGGTTATTTTAGTCTGATAAATATGTCTCGGTGATAGTTGATGTAGAGAGAAAGGTAAAGACATGTTTTCATTCCACTAATAACAAGGAAAGAGATCATTGGGGCAGCATTATGAGGAATGGAACAACAGAGCTCCACATGCACCTTTTCTGGGCTGCCATTGATTGACTTCTTTTATGGACGACGATGCACAGTCACACAGGACTCATGTTGTTCAGGATCTCCTGGAATTTGAATATATCTACAGAATGTATTGGTGTGCTTCCTTTGATTTAAACCCCATTGAACATATGTGGGGTGCTTTGGTGAGGTGCCTGACGCATAGCATTGCCCTCCAGAGAACATCAGACAACTGAAACAGATGTCTTGAGGAATAGGAACTTTTACCTCAAGAACTGTTGGATAATCTGGTATTGAATATTGACAGATCGTACAAGTTAATAGAGGTCATACCCATTACAGTTAATAGAGGTCATACCCCTTGCTAAGGCTCTTTGGTTTGTTGCTCTCTCCCGTGCCCAGATTTTGGTATCAATGTCATTCTGTTCATAAAGCCTTTTTCTGTTTGTTCCATACTGTATGCCTCCTATTCATTTTTTGCTACTATGCTTTCCCCATCCTTTAAGTACATTGAGCCTTTAATATGAATTTCATGTCTCCCAATTGATTATTTTTTGTAGAATTATCAGCCAAAATCAGAAAAATTGCATAAGTATTGCATACTGGTGTATTTTGGAGGTACAAAAAATTATAAAAAGGATTAATATTGGGTTAAGGCAAAGCATATTATGACTGTCTTTCTGATCGGAGGAAACCTTTGTGGAGGACTTTTTGGAAGAAATTGACTTATACGATAAACCACAAAATTGCTTATGCAACCAGATGGTTTGGCAACATTTTAACCCGTGTCAAGTTACCAAACTTAAGGAGTTTTATTCTCTCAGCTAGTGGATCATATGCATAAAAGAAAGGGTTTTATAATGCAGAATACTAAGCAGAACATTGGCCACATTTTGGATGCATCGAAGAATATGACAGATAGAATTTAACATAAATTCTCACTGGGAATTTCTACTGGCAGTAAGTTGCCAGTAAATATCTTTTTTGTTATGACTGTGCATACAACCTTTGTCTTTTTTTTATAGTACACTCAGTCATGTATTAGTTTCAATTAGTATTCTAAGGATTTTTTTAAAATTTTATTTTGATGTGTTTTGCATTTATTTTTGTAATGGGTATGTGATATTAGCCTGGTAATGAAACAGATGCTTTCCACATTTGGAAAGGTTAAGAATGTTCTGATTTTTATGCTGTGAATTTATACACAGCATAAAAATACTGTGTGCAGTATTAAAGGAGATATTAATGGAAATGTTAACACTGAAAAATGCAGATGGCAAAAATAAGAGTAGAAAAAAAGTTTGAAGGAATGCGGATTTCCTTAATGCAGTCATGCAGTTTATTTACTGGTGATTCAAGGGGATAAACTCAACTAAATTTAGCCAAGACTTGTCTTTGATCAACAAAATTGTCATAGACTGAAATAATTATTTTTGAAAAATTAACTCACTTTTCCAAAATGGAGGAGGAATTCAAGACATTGGTATCCAAATTGTATCAATTACTTTGCAACAACCAGAGTTCCTGATAGGGTTTGATGCATAAGTATTTAATAATTTCATAGGGAACTATATTGGATGTTACAGTAAAAGCCCAACTATCCCACATTCAACTAACTGGAAAAGTTTTATAACTTCATTTTTTTTTTTTTTTTTTTTTTTTTAAATATCACTTCCAGAAACTTGAGCAAATGGGAGACTTGTTAAGCCATTAAAAAATATAGATAGAACTCTTGAAATCCATCTGATAGCTTCTAAAATGTGACAAGAATTACACAGTTCTCTTGCAGAGCCGTTGTATTCTATTCACATTTGAGAATAACAAACATGCGTCTCAAACAAAGGCATCTTATTATTTTTCTGTTGTAAATGGGATACATGTACCGTATATACCCGCGTATAAGTTGAGATATTTTGGACAAAAAAAAAAGACTTCAAAGTGGGGGTGTCGACTTATACGTGGGGCTATAAAAAATGAAAAGAATCGAAAGTTCAAAAATTTCTTTATATAATGCAGTTGTTTTCTTTCCGTGCTCAAATTGGATGACTTATCAAATAAGTCACTTACTTGAAGTAATTTCATGACTTAAATTATGTGATGAACTAATCACAGAGTTTCATACTTTAACTAGAGTACGTTTCGATCAAACCAAAGAATTTTCGGCCCCCGAACAACCGATCAATATCGAGCAATAAAAAAGTTTCGCCAACACACCAAGAAAAGAGAAATGCAGATAGTCATTTTTAAGATCGTCCATTGATCATTTTAAAAGAAAAACTTTACCGAAAAAAACATTGTGTTTCCATCAGGTGTGCTGGTTCGCACCCATGAAAAGGGATGGATGGATGCTGACAGAAACAGTCGATTGGCTTAAAAATGTGTGAGATAAATTATGTGACTGGGAGAAGCTTTCAAAAAACCTTCGCTTTTAGTATTATACGATTCTTTTCGTGGACACTTTTCTGAAGAAGTGGACAAAAGTGACAAAACACCTAAAAACGACTGTTGCCGTAATTCTCGGGAGGATTGACATCCGTCATTCAATCCCTAGATGTCTGCCTCAATAAAGCCCTTCAAAGTAAATGTTAGAAAATATTGGGCAGAGTGGATTAGTTCCGGTCGACCAACATTTACAAAGGGAGGCAACATTAAAAAGGGAGGCAACATTAAAAAGCCCGATATTACATTAATTTGCTCAGTGGGTTAAAGATGCTTGGAACGAAATACCCTCTGAAATGATTATAAAATCATTTAAAAAATGTTGTATTAAGCAACGAACTAGACGGCACGGAAGATGATGCTGTTTTTGAAAGTGAAAATGACGACGAAGGCTCTAGTAGTGATTGTAACAATACAGAGTTCGAGACTGAAAATATGTATGATGACGAGCCAATGACGGCAGAAAGAGTTCTATGAAATGTTTGGCGAATCTGACCATGAATCGGACGTGAAGAATTTTGATTTTGTTATTTACCAAGGTACTTTTTATCGTATATTACTTTTTTTCCTCAGATGATTTTGAATAAATGTAGTACTTAAAAAAATTTTTTTCGAAGTTTCTCGATTGATTTCGAAAGTGGGGGGTCGGCTTATACGCGGGTTTCTTATTTTCTATGAATTTTTTATGTCGAAGTGGGGGGGGGGGTCAACTTGTACGCGGTATCGACTTATACGCGAGTATATACGGTATAGGTCCCAGTAGGCTGTAAATTTTATGGCATATTTTTTACCTAATGGTAATGAAAGAGTTAAATTAGAGAATGTTGATATTTATATGTGCTGTTTAATAATTTTTTAATGTTGCAAATTAATTTTTAATTCTAGGATTAACACTATATTGTTTTAAATTTAATGAAACTATTAAAATTGTGCAACAGTAATTGTATAATTTTGTGCCAAAGCATTAGTCTTGCAAGGAAATTGTTAATTGCAATTTATTTATTAAATAATTATTTTTCAGAAAAATATTTTGATATGAATAAAAAACATGCTCGAGATGCTCTAGATATCTACAAAAAATTTCTGATTAGAATGGATAGAGTTGCTGAATTCTTGAAAGTTGCTGAGGTAAACTTTTCATTGAATTCTTTAGAGCTTTAATGTTTTCCACTTTTAATCTAAAGAGACTGTTTCATTTCTGTAATATCATGCACCATATATATATCTATTTAAAGAAAAGGTAGATGCAGACGTCGCGGCGCTCAATGAACTGGAAGTTGATCTGTCAGCACTATCCTTGCACTATCCAGGGCAGATGTTTTTATTTTATTCAGCTTATAATTCCTTACTAAATGTAGTATTTCATCTGTGTGTACTCCGTCTTTGATATGATTTAAATCAAACTCCTCGTCATTATAAATATCACGAATACACATCGAATAGTTTTCTGGTTGCAATTTTCTAATTTCGACTATGCGTAATGTATGCTTTGCACATGCGCGCGTTGAAAGAAATGTTTAATAAAGTAAAGAAATAAATATTAAGCTAGTTTTTTTTTTGTAAATTTTGATACCCGTTAGATCATAATTGCTCTTTATTTCATAAATTACGGTTTCATATTTTTAATTTTATAATTTTGGCATGCCATCTTGCCAGATTTAAATTGATGATCTATAATCCGGAATCGGCGAAGTCCCGATGAGTCCAGATTAAAGACTTTTGACTGTTTTACATTTTACTGGTCTAAAAATGAATTGATCAAAACTCCATTTTAGCAATCTTTTTTATCATAAAAACCTCATTTTTATTGTACTTACATCTTTTTATTATGTGTTTACTCAAAACATTAAATTTTGTGCATTCATTTTTTATTTTATTCTTTATTTTGTGAAAGTAAACAATTTTTAGAAAGTAAAACTTGCATTTATTTCCCCCCCCCCCCTAATAAAACGCATAACTATGAGCGCCTGTGTGAAAAACCGTGGCACTGGGAAATGAATCTTGTATGTTTTCCATGGAAGTTAAGGGGTTAAAGTAAAGTTATTTAGAATGCTTTTGTGTATTTGGAAGAGAAAGACAATTCAGTGTTTTTAATAGCCCTCCTAGAAAGTTGCTACAAAGCAAGCACAACTCATATTTATCAAAGTAAACTGACAACAGAATTAAAAAAGATATCGTCTGAAATTATTACTTATATGTTGCTCAAGTGATTTTTATATAATAGGATAGTCTAATCTTAAGCATTGGTTGATATTTCATTTAAAGCTTTGACAGTAATAGAATATTACCCTAATATAAAGTTCTGAAACTTGTTTCGTTGTTTAATTTTTATTTTATGTTCAATATATTTTAAACATTCAAGAATACATTGTCTATAAAAGTAAAAACACTATTGCTTGGTTAATTGTTTTTCATCTTTGGTTGGGTTTTGATTTCATTGAAGTTTATACATTGAAGTTTGTTTTGGTAAAATACTTTACTCTTTTGGTAAAATACTTTACCAAAATAGAAAAATTAAATAAATAAAGAAAGAATTTTACCCTGGTAAAATACTTTATCAAAACAGAAATGTAAGGTAAGGATTTCCATTTGATCCCTAAATGTATCGGGTCAGTCCATAAGTTCGTGCACATTAAGAGTATGCGTGGAATTCACTATGACACATTTACTAAAATAATTTTGAACCTTTTGAAACTTGTTATCGTTTGACTAACATATTATTCAGTTCATCACCAACTTTCGTAAATATCGAACACATTTAATACCCATAGAAGATGAATATAGATAACCAGTACAAACATGCTGTGCTACATTCTTTTATTTTCATGTGATGAATCTGCCAGGCAATAAAAATTAATAGTGTACGTGGTGAGCACACTATTAGTGTAAGAACTGCCCAGAAATGGTTAAAAAAAAATTTAAAGTTGGAAAAAGCAGCATTGATGATGAATCCCATTTCAAGACGTTTTGAACTGTTAGAACCAAATCAAACGATTAATTCAAAAGTTTATTGTGAACAACTTTGCTGTCTAAACTCAGAATTGATCAAAAAATGCTCATGATTTGTGAATATCAAGAAAGTGTTGTTTCTTGATAATGCTAGACCGCTTATGACTCGAACAACGCTGCAAAAAATTAGTGAATTTAATTGGGAGCTTTTGCCGCATCCTGCTTACTCCCAGATATTGCCCCAAGTGATTTTCACTTATTTCGTGCCTTACAAAATTTTTTAATGGGAAAAAAATCAAATTATAAACAGGATGTACACAATGAACTTTCAAGTTTTTTTGCATCAAAACCAGAGTCTTTCTACAGCAATGGCATAAAAAAGCTGCCTGTAAGATGGCGAAACATCATAGATAATGGAGGAAAATATATAATTGATTAAAATGTTAAATTGTGTTTTTTTATATTTAAAAATTTACCAAAAAATGCACACGAATTTATGGGCTGACCCAATATATGAAATTAATACTGTTTTGTATATATATATATATATATATATATATATATATATATATATTTCTGTTATATTATTTCCAAACATTCAGTTTTGTAATAAAATATTTGTCAATAACTTTTAAATGTATTTCATCAGTTTTCTATCCATGTACTTTCTCTTAAAAGTTTGTTTCTGATTTTTGTTAGAGCTAATGTGTAAAATCTTTTTCAGAACATTGGTATCAATAAAGGTGACATACCTGATTTAACTAAGGTAAGGTTAATTTTTTAAAGAATAATACATTGCTCATCCCAAGATGCATTTTCTGTTAAATTTGAAATATCTACATTAATGCAAACATTAAAGATGCTTATCAACAATAAAGCTTAGCCTTCTTTTTAAAATACTGTGTATTTTTACCATAAGTTGAGCCATTTTGACATTTCATATTTTAATATTTAATTTGCTGTTAATATATCCCCTAACAACATTTATGTTTCACACTGCTTAATGTTTTAGTCAATCTAATGTTTAGTTGAAATTTCTTCTTTTTTTTTTTTTAATTATACGTTAAGTTTTAATTTTTGGAAATTAATCTAATTTTTATTGCATGCTTCCCGAAAATTTATTATTTTATTTTTTGGAACTCCTTTTTTCACTATTTTAGTTGGCACAACGTTGTGGGAATCTCCCTATCTTTAGTTCTAAGCATGTGAGTCATTTATTTTTCTTTTTAGTTTTTATATGGGGTGTTGAATTTCCTTTTAAAATTAGCATTTGAATACTTTTTTGGCCCAGATTCCTTTCCTTTTTAAATCTAATACTAAAATTTAAAAATATTAATTTTTCATTTAAAAATTGCGCTAACACAAGGAGCATGAATTTTTCTTTGGGTATTTTTCATTACCTTTAAATTTCTTCAAATTAGTACTGAATGTACTGGATCTTGCTACTTGCACAAATCATTTTATTGTGTTTAATTACTAAAGTAATTTTTTAAAAATTTTAATGTTTTTCTAAATAGGATAAAATTGGATGCAATGTGTATTAAAATGATAAAATTTATGCCGATATTTTTTATCTTTTATGAAGGCTCCCAGTAGTCTTCTGGAAGCCCTAGAGCAACATTTAGCCACCTTAGAGGGAAGGAAAGGTTCTACATCAGCTGCATCTGCTGCTGCAAGGTATAACGCTTATTAGTTTGTCATTATCTCGATTTTCTTGCATTAATGCATTTAAAAGTAAATTTTTATTGAGTTCAAGCATAGTTAGATCAATTCTGCTCTGTTTTACAATTTTTATATTTTCCCTTTTAATGATTCCTCAGTGCTTGTTCCTGTTACCTTGTTTTATTTTCCTGCTTTGAATTTTACAAATATAATATATTTAACGATGTTGTTGTAAAATACAGAAATATTCTTGGAAACATCATTCATAATCATTTTTCTTGTAGTTACACATTCATGTGATTTTTAAAAATTATATATTTATGCATTCTTTTTCGTGCCTCTGCCTGAAAGGCATGTCACACTGCACGTATAGTTTGATTTACTAATTCTTTGAAATATCTTTATTTTTAATCAAGATATTTATGCATCTTTTTTCGGGCCTCTGCCTGAAAGGCAGTGTAACAATGCACGTATTCTGCATGTTTAACTGGATTTAAAGCTCTCTGAAATTTTTTATTTTTAAAGGGAATACTGAATATTATGAGTGGTGGCTGTTAAAGTTTTTATATAATTAACAGTGAGGAAAATTCTGCCTGGACTTGATTGAAATAAAATTTACATTTAAATCTGTTTTTGTTAGTCATGTAGTATTTAGTCACATTGCTGATTTATGTGGAAGATACACATGTGATAATAAAAGGCTTTGTTTTGGGTTGAAGTTGTTAATTTTAAGAATGAAGAAAATGGCGAGAATTTATGTGGAAACTGAGTTATGGAATAATGAGAACTTTTATCTTTGGTTGGAATTGTTTATATGTCTTAAGGATAGTTTTTAACTTCATGGCAATATATATTTATTTATAAGCTTATAAGCTATTTTTCATTTATAAGCTTTATCGTGGTTTCTATTTTATACATTCAGTCAGATCTTGTGTATAGATTCTAGTCCATTACATGTTTTACTGTTTGCCAGTAAATTATACATCATTATCACTTGGCTACAAGTAAAGAAATTTTTTTTAAATCTCCAAGACAGAAATATGCGAGTTATACTTTTTAAAAAATGTTAATGCTTGTAATTTTACTAAAAATGTATGTGGTAAATATTAATGAAATTTTGCATATTAATGCAGAATTTAATAAATTAAAAGTATAATACAGTAGTCAACTAAAAAAGGGGGAAATAGTTTGAGCTGATCATGTAGTTTAAAACTTCATTGCTTAAGATTCTGATGTTGATTTCTACAGATTGAATATTAATTTAAACTAAAACTACATCTCTTCTCTCCTTAAAATTAACTCTCGAGTATGTTATTCTAAAAAGTTGAATACAAATTGGATGGTGAGATGGGGGTCCTTATCAACTTATTCTCGGAAATGAAAGTACTACTGATTTGATTTTGGATAACTTAGTAATTCTGTGCTGTGAATAATTTTTATTTATATGTGCCATTGTAAAATTTTATAGTAAAGGCATGTAATGATTGATCAGATTTGCATAAGGTTCTTTCCTACACATTTGTTTGCTAGACTGTGACTCTTCATATCTATGTTAATTACTTATTGTTTCAGACATTTTTTAATGTTTTTCATTACTATTGAAGTAAGCTTAATTCTGAAAAAGGACTCTTTTCTGTTTTTAAAATGTTTTTGAATAACTCATAATAAGTATATTCAGATTAATAAATGACAATCAAAAACTTGTGGGATTTGTATGGTTGTGTGGAGAGAGATCAGAAGTTGTTAGCTTGTGTAATCTTGGTTGGTCGTATAAATCACTATCACTTATTCCAAAAATTTATTTCCACATTATTAAAATAATTTCAGATGTTAATTTAACCTTATCTTTCATTATAGTGATTCACTCTTATTAAAAAGTAAATTTTTTTATGTTAAGCATGTAATGCATGATTGCATGGTTATGTTATTTAGTAATACATTTTATTTAATTTTGTTTTATTGCATGCTTCTTGTTTATTTATGCTTTTTCTTCCCCACTCCTGGTTTTTATCCTTGCCTGCAACTTTATTCAATTTGCATCTTACCTGCTGTATCGTAATAACTTAAAAAAAGAGCTACAAACTTGCGAAATGCTGTATCTGCTTTATCACATACGAGCAATGCGTTCAGCAGTGCTGGAGAGAATTCAATGCAACAGGAAGTAAATGGGGTCAAAGTAGATGAAAATGTAAGGAAGGCTGTTGAAGAAGAAGCAGAAGTTATGAATCAGCTTAAGGTAAATTTGCAATAAACCTTCATTATACATAAATAAGAAATATTATTTAGTTTTAATGCATTTTTGTATGATATAAACTTTTATAATAATACCATTAAATTAAAAGTGCATACTTAAATGTGTGTATTAAGGCAAGATACCCTCACAATTAATTGGTAGGACCTTGCATTGTACAGTACTAAAAGAAAATATTTTCTGAATATGCTTGTCCTTAGTAATGAGTACTTAATAGTAAAATTATAAAATACAGCCATCACATATAAAAATATAATTCACAATTATCTTCTAAGTTCAAATTGTGCGTTATGGATTGTTATATTTTGTGAATGAAAATTATTTTAGGTGTGATGTGTTATGTAAAATTTTATATTCCATTTTGTATTTTAAAGCTGTAACTTGAAATTTAGAATTTGAGCATTATTTCTCAAATTCAACAGTTGATTAGCAGTAATTCAAAAGATACATTTAAAAAAATTAGAACTTGATTCTCTTTGCTTGAAATAATAAATTATGTATAAATAATTTAAAAGTGAAGTATTAGAAAGAAAAGTTTTTAAATCATGAAATCTTGAGATTTCTGAAAAAGGAGTATAACTACTTGCTTATTTAACCATGAAGGCTTTTTCATTTCAAGACGAACATTTAATTCAAACAAGTTACACGGACCTTTTCATTTAAAGACATTGTGGTAGAAAATTATGCTATGAAACACTGTTAGGTAAAAGATGTAAAAATAATATCTAGTGTTGCAGAGTATTATTTTGTGATTTTCCAAATTTCAAAATGCTGTTTCCTGAACCCACAGATGATTTATTCCCAGAACAAAAATATAAAATAGACAGATATGTATGAAATCTTAATTTGTGAAGTACTTATGAGTTTCCTTTATTTAAATTATATAATATATCTGAGAGTACTGTTATGAAATCCCTGTGAAGTTTGTAGTTTGTGAAATGGATTAAGTGTATTTATTGAGTCACTTAAAAATTTCATGTAAATATGTTTTTGTTATATACATAAGGCATTAATAGATAACTGCTTACTATTCAAATTGTCCACAGTCTTCAGAAGTCTGTTCCATGATAATACAGTGCATAATTACATTCTCCTTGAACAACTATGATTGGCATCAAGCATAAAAGGTTGATTCAGAAGTCAAACAACAAAAATCAGCGTTATACCTACAAAATTTTCACAGGACTAGTTTCGATGGTTTTACCGAACCATCATCTTCAGCTGCAAAACCGCAAATGAACAAGATAGGAAATAATGATTAGATAAGATAAGAAAGCCTGAACAAGAATAAGCAAGTGGCGCCATCTGTTGGCGAAACCAGAACTAAAACATAATTTCTCTAAAAAGCCGAAGGCAAATTTGGATTGGAATTAGGATCGTTAACTAGAACAGAAAGATTTTTATGAATGTGAAATGCCTCTAGAAAATCCAGTTTTCCAATGGAAGATGTCTTTTGAATAATTTTGGCAGCAGAAAAATTGAAAGTGTGATTTTCGGACCGCAATGTTGAGTAACAGAAGACTTCTGTGTTTCCTTTTTTCTAACATATGCCTCATGTTCTTTGATGCGAAATTTTAAGGCTCTCTTAGTTTGGCCAATGTAAATTAAACCACACTGGCAAGGAATCCTATAAATACCCCAGGAATTCATATCCGGAATGGGGTCCTTGAGTATAGAAGTTGGAATTTATTGATGGGGGAGAATAAACAACCCGAAAGTTAAATTTCTGCAAAATATGTGCAACTTTATAGCTAATTGATGGAAAGAAGGAACGACAACAGAATTTTATATATCTCCTAAAATAAGAGTGTGGCTTTTAGTGTGTGTTCAGATGAGAATTTTTTAACTGCTTGATTAATAATGTTGGGTGAAAAGCCCCTGTCAATAGCTATTGCTTTTAAATAATTTAGTTCTTCATCAAGGGCTAGTTTGGAGGAGCAAACTTGAAGAGCACGGAAAACATAGGAATAAAATGAAGCTAACTTTTGTTTAGTCGGATGACATGATTTAAAGTGTGGTGGAAGGCAAACCGATGAAGGTTTACGGTAAACTGTAGTACTGAAGTTGGATGTGTGTTACGTGTGACCAGAATGTCGAGAAACGGAAGAGAATTGCAAGTCTCAAGTTCAAAAGTGAACTGAATAGCAGGATCAATAGAATTCATTGTTGAAAGAACTTTATTTAAATCATCGTTATTACCTTCAAACAGGGTAAAAGTATCGTCTACGTAGCGGAACCATGCCGGGAAGTTTAAAGTTTCAAACAATTTTGATTCATAATAATGCATGTAGATATCAGCCAGGATGGGACTGAGGGGGCTTCCCATGGCTAATCCCTCAGTTTGCTTGTAATATTTATTTTGGAAAACAAAATGTGTTTGTTTCAAACAGAGTGAGAGAAATTAGCTCCTCAATTTCGACGCAAGAGAAATGAAATTCGCGAAGTCTGGTTTTCTAGACATTAATGCACCCTCCACTGGGACATTGGTGAATAATGATTTTACATCAAAAGAAAACCATGAGTAAATTACTAGGAGAAATGTTTTTAACCTTTTTTACAAACTCTATTGAATTTTTATGGTGTAAATGTTATTGTCTAATAGAGTGGAAAATCTAGAAACTAAATATTTAGCTAAGGATACGAGGCAGTACCTAAATTTGATACAATAGGGCGGAAAGAATACCACTTTTATGAATTTTGGGAAGAGCATATAATCTGGCACAATTCGCAACAGATGGGATAAGCGAATGTTTTAAGTTGCTTGAAATGATTTGCGAAGATTTGATCGCAGTTCTTATTTTGGATAAGTCCGAAGGTGAAGGATCTTTAGGGATCGGATTATATGGTCCTTCGTTTAAGAGTTTAGTGACACCATCGATGTAAGTGTTCTTATCCATGACGACTATCTGGCCACCTTTGTCGGCCTTTGAAATGATAATATCCGGGTTAGAATGCATTTCGCACATTGTAGCTCTTTCTCTCGCAGTTAGATTTGGTTTCAAAGGTTTATTATTGAATTTCACATTATGAGCGATAAGATGCCTAATCATTTCTTTCTGTGAATCTGAAACTTTACTGAACTTGAAAGCTTTTTCGATAGGAGCCAAACTCTTTGAAATGGAGGGTTTACAGGTTTGTGAGAAGTTAAAATTATATTTTAGAATTCTCTCTTGTTCTTCTGAAAGACTAACATTAGAAATATTAACTATTGGCTTGATGTTTACAATGGGAAGATTTTTTGAACTACTTGAACTGGAAGACTGTAAAAGAAGTTTTTCGAATTTAACTGCAAGGGTGTTTTTATGACGGTTAACTGCATTCTCCGTTCTAGACCAAGACTTTTGTTCAAGGGCAGTGAATTTTGGATATGATTTAGCAAGTTCCAGATGAAGCTTATAGAGTTCATGTTCAATTTTGGACAATTGTTGACGTGTATCCCTTATCACGGACCGAAGTAAGGCAAGCTTGCAATTTAACAGAATTCTTGAAACGCGACTCGAAGGTTTTTGATTAGATTTGATTTGAATAAAATTGGGGATCAATTTTTTACATTTACATTTAAGTAAAAAGTCGAGATGATTCAGGAATTTTTGCCATTTCAGGCGTAAGAACAAGAAGTTCTTTCAGATCTTCTTTCAGAAGAACAAGAGAGAATTCTAAAATATAATTTTAACTTCTCACAAACCTGTACCCTCCATTTCAAAGAGTTTGGCTCCTATCGAAAAAGCTTTCAAGTTCAGTAAAGTTTCAGATTCACAGAAAGAAATGATTAGGCATCTTATCGCTCATAATGTGAAATTCAATAATAAACCTTTGAAACCAAATCTAACTGCGAGAGAAAGAGCTACAATGTGCGAAATGCATTCTAACCCGGATATTATCATTTCAAAGGCCGACAAAGGTGGCCAGATAGTCGTCATGGATAAGAACACTTACATCGATGGTGTCACTAAACTCTTAAACGAAGGACCATATAATCCGATCCCTAAAGATCCTTCACCTTCGGACTTATCCAAAATAAAACTGCGATCAAATCTTCGCAAATCATTTCAAGCAACTTAAAACATTCGCTTATCCCATCTGTTGCGAATTGTGCCAGATTATATGCTCTTCCCAAAATTCATAAAAGTGGTATTCCTTTCCGCCCTATTGTATCAAATTTAGGTACTGCCTCGTATCCTTTAGCTAAATATTTAGTTTCTAGATTTTCCACTCTATTAGACAATAACATTTACACCATAAAAAATTCAATAGAGTTTGTAAAAAAGGTTAAAAACATTTCTCCTAGTAATTTACTCATGGTTTCTTTTGATGTAAAATCATTATTCACCAATGTCCCAGTGGAGGGTGCATTAAGATGTCTAGAAACCAGACTTCGCGAATTTCATTTCTCTTGCGTCGAAATTGAGGAGCTAATTTCTCTCACTCAACTCTGTTTGAAACAAACACATTTTGTTTTCCAAAATAAATATTACAAGCAAACTGAGGGATTAGCCATGGGAAGCCCCCTCAGTCCCATCCTGGCTGATATCTACATGCATTATTATGAATCAAAATTGTTTGAAACTTTAAACTTCCCAGCATGGTTCCGCTACGTAGACGATACTTTTACCCTGTTTGAAGGTAATAATGATGATTTAAATAAAGTTCTTTCAACAATGAATTCTATTGATCCTGCTATTCAGTTCACTTTTGAACTTGAGACTTGCAATTCTCTTCCGTTTCTCGACATTCTGGTCACACGTAACACATCCAACTTCAGTACTACAGTTTACCGTAAACCTTCATCGGTTTGCCTTCCACCACACTTTAAATCATGTCATCCGACTAAACAAAAGTTAGCTTCATTTTATTCCTATGTTTTCCGTGCTCTTCAAGTTTGCTCCTCCAAACTAGCCCTTGATGAAGAACTAAATTATTTAAAAGCAATAGCTATTGACAGGGGCTTTTCACCCAACATTATTAATCAAGCAGTTAAAAAATTC